TCTCAAATATCAAATTAATTTGGGTACAGTGTTCCAAGGCTGAGTAATTGTCAGTCAAACTATCACAGCACTAAAAACTAAAACATGGCCTGGAAAGGATGAAGGTGAAACATGCTGGTATTGAGGCGGTGAAGCATCACCAATATGTGCGGGAAGAGTTGCGTAAAACTCTTTACAACCATTTATATAATGAGCAGAAGTTGATGTGTTGAACTAATCTCAGTGATGTCACGGGATTATTTCTTTTGGGTTTGATTCTGTTCCTTTGCTCTAGTATGGTATAGAATTATGAACAGTCTAATAAATCGGGCTTTGTTCTATTACTGACCTTCTTTTGTTTCCATTGCAGTGTATAAAAATCTGTTTTCTGCATCCGAGGAGATTTATAGTATGTACATTTTTTTTTCTTTTTTTATTTCATTGGTAAATACACACACAATCTTTTATAATAACTAAGTATTTCCTTTCTATTTTAGAACAAGACATACAAAAAGAGGAAGAAGCCAAGAAATCACGTACCGTGAACTACAATTCCATTCAGCTTCCTACACCTACGTCTAAGCCAGAAAAGGGTAAGAAGGGGACTATAGACAAGCCACATACTTCCTCTGTGATCAGAAGGTTGGCTGTGCTGGTAGATAGATCAGGTTTCTATGTGCTACTGGTAAAAGACCAAACTAGTAGTTGTGACGGTGTAACAGACACAATCACGCGCCAACAGTGGTCACACAGAGCCCTTACAGCGGGATACAAATAGAAAGCATCACATTGTATACCAATTAAAACTTAATTGGACTCATATTGGTATTATTTATTTTCTTCTTCAGAGATCATTGCGACTACAAAAACCCCGGGATTGAATGGGGTTGGTTCAGGACAGAAAATCCCACCACCAGGTTTGTTTACCTTTTTGCCTTCTCATGCACCTTTGTGAACCTATGATTTAAAAAAAAAAAAAAATAATGGGTATAAGGTGTGTGAATCTTGGGTGAAACCATTAAAAAATAGACACCTGAGACATAACTAATTTACTTTTCATTTGATTTTTTTAGCCGTCTTTGAACCCTTTCTACAGTCCGCAAAAAAGAACATTTCGGAAGAGATTAGATACAGCACTATCCTCAAACTCTCCATGTTGGGGACCTTAGTTGTGGTCTCTATTGTCGCTGTAATGTCCAGCGTGCTCTTAGTAAGTACAAGCGTATACAGAATGCGCTGTTTACTTATTTCTTTTTCACTTTCCAAACTTTATTTATTTTGTTTACAAAGTGATTAAAACTTCTATTTCTATTTGTATTTTATCAGTATCAAAAGCGCAACAAACTGGCTGAAGTAGAAAGGGCGCAAGAGATTGATTTAGGACTATTCGGCGTGCCCAGCGACTCCGGACAGCCCTACGATGCCGCCTACTGGATGGCGTGGATATACTGAAGTATATGGACATCGGTCTAAATTCCAGGGTGCAAACCGACTGCCATAATTGGAGTCAGGAAGGAATTCTTTCCCCTTAGACGTCACTGGTTGGCATCTACGGTTTTTTTCGCCTTCCTCTGGATATCAGCATCAAAAGCATAAGACTGGCAACGAAGGGAGTGATTTGGAGCAGTCCAGCCCATGTATTCCACCTAAAGTGTGCAAAGGCTGAAGCCGATGTACACAGGTCCCTAGATCCAGGGATTATACTGACTGCCAAATCTGGAGTCAGAAAGGAACTTTTTCTCTCTGGGGCATCGCTGGTTCGATAGTCTTAGAGGGTTTCTCGCCTTTCTCTGCATATTGCTTATATTAAGCATAATAAAAATTTTAAACATAAAAACAAAATTTCTGTTTACCTTTCGTTTTACTTAAAGTATGTTGAGAAGTATGCTCATCATAGAGGTTGATGACCTAACTGTGGCTGGTTAGCTTTTTATGTTCCATGCTAAGTGGATCTAAGCTTAGCAGAATATGGGCCTGGAAAAACATGTCCATGTACACAAGTTCTAGCAGCTTTCATATCACCCTAAAAGATTTCCTATGAGACTCACAGTGGACTGTGTGACCATCTATGTACAGTAATAGGAAGATTTAAGATTAAACTGGAGAAGATAAAATGCGATCTATAGCAAGTCAACATCAAGAACAGTCTTTGGTGGTCTGAATGTTAGTTTTACAGGCAAATGACCTGAGGATTGAAATGATAGATACGTTTACAGTCACACACTCTCAACAGCATACATACTGTATATAGAACACCTTCATTAATCTACTTCTATATACAGTATACTAATAAGATGGCTGATTCATTTGAAATCCATCAGCACTATAGTCACAGCGACCTAAGGTGTTCAGTTGAAGGATAAGAATTTCCGTAGATAAGTGGTGCTGTACACTCAGTGAATACACAGAGGTGCCAATCCAGGATGCAAGCACCATGCGGTGTCCATGCAGCCGCAAAAACATATCATGAGAATTACACACCGGCATACAGGGCAAGAGAAGTAGTATTGTGTAGAGTCCATACATATAGAATAAGGACAGATACTGAGAATTACACCCGGCATACAGGGCAAGATAAGTAGTATTGTGTAGAGTCCATACATATACTGTAGAATAAGGACAGATACTGAGAATTACATCCGGCATAGTACTGTGCAGAGTCCATACATCTAGAATAAGAACAGATATTGAGAATTACACCCGGCATACAGGGCAAGGGAAGTGTTGAAACTTCTTGTACAGCCTCACAGAGAAACACAAGCACAGTCTAAAATGAATGCTGTACATGGCTTGAAAAACAGGAAGGAAGACACAGCTCCACCCTCCACCCCATTCAATACAACAGAGATATACACCATAGATATTGTATAACAGAACTTAGAAACACTGCCATCCAGTGACCAACAACGTATACTGCAGTAGTTATTGCTATAAACACAATAATGTGTATTCTAACAAAAAGTAGTACTGTGCAGAGTCCATACATAAAGAATAAGAACAGATACTGAGAATTATACCTGGCATAGTACTGTACAGAATCCATACATATAGAATAATAACAGATACTGAGAATTACACCCTGAATAGTACTGTGCAGAGTCCATACATAAAGAAAAAGAACAGATACTGAGAATTACATCCGGCATAGTACTGTGCAGAGTCCATACATAAAGAACAAGAACAGATACTGAGAATTACACCCAGAATAGTACTGTGCAGAGTCCATACATATAGAATAAGAACAGAGAACAGATACTGAGAATTACACCCGGCATACAGGATAAAAGAAGTAGTATTGTGCAGAGTCCATACATATAGACAACATATAGATAAACATATATGTTGGAGAACATTAGCAAAAATAAGGCATCCTCTTCACATCGTTAGTCACTTCTTCATAGTCCTCAGTCCCCTCCCCCATCACATCACACCGTCTGTATGGCCAATTTAAGAAGCATCACGTCAGCCTTCAGAACCGTCCAATAGATGTAAAATACCTGACTCCCGCTGCAGGGCAGCATGGCAGAGCAGAGAGCGGAACCAGAGGGGGGCAGAGCAGGTCTCTATGGAGTCTGGATAGAGGAGAACCTCTGTGACTTGTCTTTCTCCAGGCCGAGCCTTTCACTGGGCCCTGGTTGCTAGGGTGCTGGCAGGCACCAGTGTCTTAGCAACCAACAATGAAGGAGGGGGGGGGGGGCTTGCAGAGGGGGGAGATACAGGGAAAAGACAGGCAGCAGTCCCTGCTGACCCCCACCATATCCCAATGTGTGTAGCCAAAGAGTACACAGTGGGCCCCATTGCTCCTTGGGGCCCGTATGCACCACGTTTAAAGAAATATGCTGAGGTGTTGCTAAGACTGCAATCTCCAAACTGGCTTCCTCCCCATGTGACTCCAGAGCTCAACCTTGGTACACTTCTCTCAGGCCACCCCTGTTCCAAGGTCACCAGACCAGACCTCACCCGCTAGAGCGGCCTAGTGTGGCAAAAATATATTTAGGGGCCGGTGTTGATGGGATTTTGTTTGCTTCAAGTGGGTTTTACATTTCTATACCAGTCTATAGGAATGGAGGTCAACAGCAGGTCACATGGATGATGTCTGCTAAGGGCCACATATCATATTTAATGCTTTAGAATAGACTGAAGTCTTCATAGGGGAAATGTTGTTCTATGGAAGTGTGTGCAGACAGACGTCATGATGTAGGAGACAGTCAGAGGCTGGGGACATGTTACATGCACTACTATTAATGGCCCCTTTACAAATCAATGCGCCAACTGCTGATTGCTGGGGCCCTCGGACCGCACTTCTAGCACCCTGGTGCGCAAGGCTGTACAGTGCTACCCTTTGCTTCTCCTCTGGCAGCTACACAAAGGGTAGGAAGGTGAGGGGTGCAGCAGCAGAGACAGTAATGAAACACCTCAGAACAGGAGATGGGCAAGGACAGGAGGGGGCTTTTCTAGGGAATGGACTCTTCTGAAGCTGTCATTTTTTTTTTTTTGAGAAGCACATTGCAAATGAATAAAATAATTTATAGAAATAAAAAACACTGCAAGTAAGCATTTAATATCCTTCTTAAACTGTTGACTGGGGGAATTTATCAAAACTGGAGCAAACAGAATCTGGCGCATTTGCCCATGACGACCAATCAGCATCTGTCTTCAGTTTGCTCAGGTAAGATTTGAAAATGAGAGAAAGATGCTGATTGGCTGCAGTGCAAATCTATATTTTTTTATAGAAAAAAAAATCTAAATCCTTGTATTGCAACTGCAATGCCAAAGGCCAGAGGTGGCCAACTCCAGCTTTGCGGAAACTGTGAAACTACACATCCCATGATGCTTGCACCTCTGGGAGTCATGCCTGTGGCTGTCAGAGACTTGCCATGCGTCATGGGGCTTGTAGTTCCATAACAGCTGGAGTGATGAGGTTACCTAGGCTGCCTCTGTCACAGGTCACTACATTCTATGCATTACCCCTAAACAGCCGCCAGAGGGCGCAGAGGTCCAGTTGTAAAGAGGGCGGGGCTGTCGGTGACGTCACGCTGGACGCAGGAAGGGCCCAGTACGTGGAAGTGGAGTGCTGGGAGCACCGGGGAAGCCGCGGCCTGGAGTGTGGTGTGTGGCGAGGAGCGGGTGAGGCGCAGCGTATGTGGACGCGGCTGGGGGAGGGGGCACGGTGCTGGCTGTTAGTGGCAGAGGGTGTCCATTGATAATGGAGGGGGGGAGGGGTGACAGACTGGAGTGACCCCGGTGACGTCTGCTGGCATTGGCACTGTGTGTAGAGAATGGCAGCACAATATGCTGGGATTTGTAGTGCCACAGAGGCAGAATGGGCTCAGTGTGCCCTGTGCTGACCAGGCATGGCTCCTATACACTGATAGGGGAAAGGGGGGAGTTTCTTAAAGGAACCCTGTGCTGTAATGGGGGCTGCCATTGTTCACCTCCTTCTAAAGAACACTCGTTGCCTGGCACTCAGAGTCCTCCTCAGACTTTGCTGTATCTGGGTTGTGGCCCCAGAACAGGCATGCAGCATGTGAAGTCACAACGCCTTTCCTGTATACTTGTTGTGAGTCAGCGAATCCACATTGATTGTTGGATCCCTGAGACAGCCAGGCAGCCGGCATTTCAGAAGAAGAAGGGTAGCCATGGTGGCGCCATGATTTCCATCACCACAGAGCAGGACTTCCTTATTGCTGAACTCCAGTCATGACTTTCATACAGTGCTCCCCTCCCCCTTGGTAACTACAGAGGTACGTCGGGTTAGGCAACCGCAGCTGTGGTGGCACTACAAGTCCCATGAGGCATTGCAGGACTCTGACAGCCACAGACATGACTCCCAGAGGTACAAGCATCATGGGTTGTGTAGTTCCACCATGGCTGGGGTGCTGAGCTTGCCTACCCCTGAGGTAGAGGAGTGATAATACTTCCCTGCAGCACGCTCCCTCCATCTGCGCAAAGCCTTTTCTCTAATGCCAGTGGCTGCATGCTGATCACATGCTGTACAGGACCAATAGGCCCCCTTGCATTGTACGTGAGAACAGCGAGGGCCCGCCCACAACCCAGAGCACCGGAGAGAAGAGGAGCGGGGTGCACCACTGCACGGGCAGCTGTGTCATTCCCGGAGTTCAGCTTTAAACATTATTTCCTTTTTTGTAGCCAAGTTGTGATAACAGCGACTTTATATTTCTTCAGGTTCCCAATCGCAGAATATCACCGAAAATATTTACAACTTGAAGCTTAACTTTTTTATGTGCTGACAAATCTAATAAAAATGTAGCTGAGCTCTCCCTCTGTACAGGAGAGGGCTGGGGAGTTCATGTTTACCATCTATACCCCGTCTGTCCTGTGCTGGCAGATCTCATTATCACTAATGTGCACACTGTGTGTCCTAACAAAGGGTTAAAGGTCTCAAGGCTTGGGTGGTGCATTGTGTGTTGGGTAGGGATGCACCGATACCCATTCTTTTGGTATTTAGTACTGATACCGGAAGTCCCATTAAGGACGCCTGGTAACGAAGGAGCATGGAGCCGGCTTCCTGGCCAATCAGGTGTGTAATGACTGACTGCCCGGCTTCCTGATTGGTTGGGTTGCCAATCAGGAAGCCGGGTGGCAAGTCATTACCCGCCCCCGGCTTCCTGACTAGCCCGACTTCCTGACTAACGATGCACCAATACAGATATTCAGTATTTGGCCGAGTGCTAGTACTTATCAGGAAGCCCGCCAGTGACATTACATGCCACCCGCCTCCCTGATTGGTCGGGAAGCTGTCTAAATCCTCTTTTGTAACCAGGTGACAAGGAAGCATGGAGCTGACTTTCTGGCCAATCAGGAAGCGGGCGGAGGGTCATTACACGCCGTCTGCTTCTTGATTGGCTGGGATTCCTGCTCCATGCTCCCTTGTCACCAGGTGACGAGGGAGCATGGAGCCGGCTTTCTGGCCAATCAGGAAGCCGGGGGGGACTGATAATGACTTGCCTCCAGGGGCGAGTCGTTACATGCACCCTTTCTTCCTGATTGGCCGGGAAGCCAGCTCCCTGGTGACGAGGGAGCATGGAGCCGGCTTTCTGGCCAATCAGGAAGCTGGGTGGTAAGTCATTACCCGCCCCCCGGCTTCCTGACTAGCCCGACTTCCTGACTAGGGATGCACCGATACTGATACTATTATCAGTGCCGATACCTTACCGAGTATTTGGACGAGTACTCGTATTTATCAGGAAGCCCAGCAGTGACATTACATGCCGCCCCGCTTCCTGATTGGCCAGGAAGTTGTCTCCATTCTCCTTCGTAACCAGGTAACAAGGGGGCATGGAGCCATCTTTCTGGCCAATCAGGAAGCCGGGCCGCGTGTAATGACCGGTATTATACAGCTTGCGACATGAAAGGTGTTTTGTCCTGCAACAAAAGTCTCAACACAAGAAACTCCAAAATGAGTGCGGGCTTAATGAATAATTTAAGAAGCTTTAGCTGAGCTCAGAAGCCAAAGCTTTTTTATTATTATTATGGTGTGCATTGGCCAGAACCCCTCTACCTTCCCAGGTTTGTTCAGACATCATGCATGACACTCCATTAAGATGAAGGGGTGACCATTGGATTGGATGGTGGGGGTGCCATGTCCTGGGTAGCCCTGCATGACATAGCTGAGGGATGTGTCTGTTCTCTACTAAGATGAAGGGGTGACCATTGGATTGAATGGTGGGGGGGCTGGGGTCCCATGTCCTGGGTAGCCCTGTATGACATGGGTGGGGGATGTGTCTGTTCTCTACTAAGATGAAGGGGTGACCATTGGATTGGATGGTGGGGGACGGGGGTGCCTCCTACAAATCCTGCACCCTGAATAAAGACATTATAGCAATTTGTGGCTCATAACGCTCACTGGTAGCAGTGTGTCCGTCCAGTTCTCATTGTTTATAATAAAGGAAATATGGGGGAACTCCAGAACTGGAACATTTATTACTTGTTTATAAATATATAATAATATTGATACTTGTTTGCTGCGTGAAATGTTATGAGTACTTGTGTACAAACGATCCCGCTCATGTTGATACATAATGTTTCTATTTCTATGTTTCCCTTGTAACGTTGACTGGGTGTGAAAAGTTTTGTCCAATGATAAGCCTTGCCCTAACATTTGGATGACATTCTGCTTTCTGTCCCCAGGCTGCGAGCGCGGATCAGATCAAGCAATCGCAGGCAAGGCGTGACCTACATACAAACGCCACCATGTACTGTTTACAGTGGCTGCTTCCCGTCCTCCTGATTCCGAAGCCACTGAACCCAGCGCTTTGGTTCAGTCACTCGGTGTTTATGGGCTTCTACCTACTGAGCTTCTTACTGGAGAGGAAACCGTGCACCATCTGCGCCTTGGTCTTCCTGGGTGCCCTCTTCCTTATCTGCTACAGCTGCTGGGGCAACTGCTTCTTGTATCACTGTAGCGGCAGCCAGCTACCAGACTCTGCCAATGACCCTGCCGTGGTTGGCACCTAGGGGGAGTACACCGCGCCCCCGCTCCATGGATTGCTGCTTTTTTTGCCAAGGACGTGTCGCAGCTCGCACAAGTTTGCTCCTTACGGATGAAACCGGTATGACAGGGACACCGTGATTATTTAAGAAGACAGTACGGTGCAATGGATACCCTCTTTCCCTGATACCATGCAGCTACAAAATGGGCATAGACATTGCATTGCCATCCCCTGGCCTTGTGGTGCTTGGGGGGGGCTTTTATTTGTATTTGGGGGACTTTGCCTCCTCCACCTTTTGGGTTTTCTTTAAAACCATGCCTCCATATTCTGTCTGTTCCCTCTTCCCCATGGCTACCAGGCACCTTCTTCTGCCACCCCTAAGACTAAGTCAGTAGTTGTGCTGATCCTCAGATCTTTGGTATTTCATGAGGAAGATGATTTGCTAATTGGATCTTTTTTCGCGAGAAGGAGAAGGCGAGCGGCGGCGATGTCACAATCAAGTGAACCTGTTGGCTACAAACAAGAGACGCCATTTGTGGTCTTATCTGATATTCAGCCGGTCGCTGCACTTACAGCTAATTACATTGCTTCGGCAGATCGGTTCAGACCACAGTGGTCGCTCTTGCCGCTAATCGGCATCGATCCAAGCGCTTTTTTTACTGCCAAGAAGATATATCGGATTTTAACGGCTCAATGTCAAGGTCTCCTGCTGTTGGATCTCTCGTCGTACTTTGTGGAAGGGAGGTGTAGTCAAACAGACTGGAACGTTCCCTGCCTCTGTTTCCACAGATTTTATCCTTTGTGTTTGGAAGAAACCAATAAAGCTTTATCATTAGATTTGGGAAATATGCAGTTTATTGGCAAAGTATATAAACCCAAAATCACATGAGCTTCAACTTGTCAATGTCATTTTTAAAGATGTTTTCAGTAGGGACGCACCAATACCGGTTTTTCAGTATCGAGAACGAGTGCCGATATTTTCTTCGGTACTCGCCGATACCAAATACCAATACTGGAAGTCCTGTTAAGGAAGCCAGGATGGCATGTAATGACTCGCCACCCGACTTCCTGATTAGCTGGGAAGCTGTCTCTATTCGCCCTCGTCACCAGGTGACGAGGAAGCATGGAGCTGGCTTTCTGGCCAATCAGGAAGCCGGAGGGGGGCAAATCATTACCCACCACCCAGCTGACTGGCGAGGAAGCCAGCTCAATGCTCCCTGGTGACGAGGGAGCATGGAGCCGGCTTCCCGGCCAATCAGGAAGCCAGGCAGCGTGTAATGACTCTCTGCCCGGCTTCCTGATACCGGAAGATCCCAGTATCGGGAGCTTCCTGTTATAGGGTGACAACTCTCTGTCCGTGTCTTCAAATTGTGCTCCTGCATTATCACCCTGTTACATGCTCTCCTAACAAAAACTCACTATCATAGCAGTCCCCATGTGCAAAATACTAACGCGTTTCACCACTCAGGCTTCATCATAGAGATCCTTTATCTCCGATTTAAGCCTGGGTGGTGAAACGCATTAGTTGGACACCAGCCCGCACCCTACAATCGCTTATTATAGTCTATGGACAGTTGTGAACAAGCCTTTAGTTGGCAAATCTCTACCAAATGTATGACGTTAAAGCGGACCTTTACTCATATCTTTAAAGTGACCCCTAGAAATTTTAAGTAATGACAATCTACACACACATACTTCTAGATAATTGCCGGCTTTGTATTCTTTGCATAACTTATTTCTCTTTTCCTCCCCAGTCTTCTGACAGTGGCCATGTTTACTAAGGGCAGATTATTAGCTCTGCTTTTACTTCCTGGATTACTGGTACATGTGACCATGCCCATCATCTCAGGGGAGGAAATGCCTTTCCCTGAGATCTCATGAGATTTCCCAGCAATGCTCTACTGATGGAACCTTCCCAGGATGCAATGCTTGGGCAAGTTACATCATTTGTGCTAAAAAAAGGACCAGGAGGTGGGAAAAAGAATATGGAAATAAAAATGTTTGTTTAGCTAATGAATGTAAGATGATTTCATACCAAAAGGGGGTGAAGGTCATCTTCCATGAGGGATCCTTTCGCTTCAAGTGTCGCACCAACAGTGAACGTCTTTTATTTCCTTCCTGTTCTTCTGTTACATATACCATTGGAGGGGTTTTGTTATTTCTGTGCAACAAAATACCTGTCCATCTCAAGGTGTGTAATTAGTACCCCTAGTTCTTATTCTGGAGCACGGATCAATTAGTCCCCAGGTTACGGAGATGAAGACATTGGGAGGGATTCAGCAGTTTAGCTAAGGGCAGCTGGGCAGGGCTGACACCATTCCGTGTGCTGCAAGCCCCAAAAAGAGGAAGTAAAGTAATATATATTTTTTGTATTTCTTTTTTTAACTTTATTGCTATCACATAAGGGGCTCACAAGTTTTAGCACTTTAGCGGTGACAGATCCTCTTTAAGGCGACATTAGGGGTCTATTAGACCCCTAATGTCACTTTTGCAGCCCATTGAAGATGCTCAAGCACAGATCTTGCTATATCAGCTTCTCCTCCGGCCTCTCTGGCTGCGGAATGACAGCTCAGGAACTGGAAATGATTATATCATCGTTAGTTCCGGGTTCATTCAGCGGGGAGGCGATGAATGTATGTTCGCTGGTCTCTTGCAACACCTGAGATGCCAGTCCTGCACCTGCAGGAGGGTAGTGGTGCCCCGGAAATGTGGTGGGAGGGGGGGTTGGGCACATGTTTGCCAGCCTGTGGAAGTGATCTGCTGTAAAGCTGCCCAAATCACTTCCAGTGTAAACTAGACAGTCGGCATATGTCGCTGAGAACAAGGGACAAGGTGCACGCATCGCAGGGAGGGACTGCATATCTTTTTTCTATTTGCCTTTACATACACTTTCGTTTTTTTGGGTGCAGTCAGCTGATTAGCTGGACTAGGCTGATAATCTCTTGTTCCAGTCACACAGCACGCCATGTCTCCCCTATCTGATGTCCTTTGCTATCATGTCATCATCACATGGCACTGAACTGCAACCACAAAGCAGTGCCAAACCCCAAGCAGAGACAATGACTAGAACACGCCACATACAAACCACGCTCGTGTCTTATCTTCAGAAAAGTCCAATGGGTCATTCACCTTCAAGCCACAAATAAACGTCGGTTTGCAGTCATCACACACGGCCGGCCAAAGTACAATCTTTAAAAATGCAGTAAAGGGCAAGAAGCCAGAGAATGTGAAGCTGGGACTGATCAAGAAGAAATCTGAGCGATTCCTCCAAACACGCACCAATCTCCTGCTCTGCCCTTTGTAGAATAATGGAGCAAACACTCAATTTTCCATCATGTCCCTTAGACAAAAGTCAATCCAACGATTAAGCTGTCAAGGAGATAAGGCCGCCCACAAATCGAATGTCACCCCATTACTGCTACATTGACCAAAATTCCATCCGTGTGTACCCAGCTTAACGGTACGCTTTAGAATTATGGGAAGGAAGCACAATACCCGAGACAAGCACATAGAGAGTTTCTAAAGCCATGCGGATGGCGCCGACGAGTATAGGAATTTCCCATCTTTTAGGGCAGTGGTTCTCAACCTGTGTAACCTCAGGACCCACATTTGTACTTGGTCATTAAGTCGCGACCCAAATCGCACTGCGATGGAACGCACAGGGTTGCGGTACCGCATGTTGCGATGCGGGCGATCAAACTGTTGGTAGGAGGTGTGTTTGGGATGCCATTCAAAAGATCCACCCAGTCTCCATACCTTACAAGAGCTGGAGTTGATCCTCAGCTTGGGGTCCAGTGTGGACTGCTGTGCTCTGATTGAGCTCCATCCCTATGTGTGCCCTGTAGAGGTGCCGGGAACCAGAATTTGACATTGCTCCGGTCCAGGCACCTCTACAGGATAAGCAAGGGAGTTGTACGTATGGATGGTGCTCCCTCACGGCCATAGCCCCATGCCACCTCAAGCAGACACTCGGCACCGGGCAGCATATTTTAAATGGCTGCTTGGCAAGAGAACTGACAGGAGGAGCTGAGGAGCCTCTCACCTAGCACAGTGGAAGGCACACCGCGACACACTGAACACGCGACCCACCAGCTGAGAACCAAGGTTTTAGGGCCAAACGCTGTTCCAACTATTCACTTCAGGCTTGTATGGCTGATTTCAGCCAAACTTCGGCTGCACTTCGGTCTGAGCATGTTCGGCTGAGCCGAAGTGTAGAAGGAGTTTGACTCAGCTGATCCAACATCTGGGTCGGCTGAGCCGAAGCTCCGGCAGCTCACTCATTCTATTCTCATAGGGGCCGAACGGCAGGGAGTGAATAGCCAAATTCTGCCGAGCGGCATTTGGCTCGGCTATTCTGCTCAGTACCTCCGTGGTACCAAGCGGAATAGGAACTCAATAAAAAAAAGTAGAAGAAAAGGTTCAAAAACGTAAATAAATAATAAATGTAAAAAAATAAAGATTTTTTAAAAGAAAGAAATAATTTAAAGAAACAATTTTGCGGAATATAGCAGTGATTACCTGCTAGAGCCTTCTAGCAGGTCCCAGCCAATGAATAACAACTGGGCGGCGCCGGCCGTGACATCATGGCCGGCTCCGCCCAGTTGTCATTGTTTAATGACAGTTCAACCACCATGTGGTGCTTTAAAAAGTGGGAGGGGCTTAAAATTTGGTTTTGGAGTCTTCAGAATGGTCATACTTGCCAGCTGTCACGATTTGCTGGGACAGTCCCGCTGTTTAGCTTATTTTCCTGACATGCCTGTGCCCCTGTGTGCAGTACATTACCTTCTGCACAGTACAGATCTGTGTGTACCGATCCCTGCACAGTACAGATCTGTGTGTACCGATCCCTGCACAGTACAGATCTGTGTGTACCGATCCCTGCACAGTACAGATCTGTGTGTACCGATCCCTGCACAGTACAGATCTGTGTGTACCGATCCCTGCCCAGCACAGATGTGTGATCTGTGTGTACCGATCCCTGCACAGTACAGATCTGTGTGTACCGATCCCTGCACAGTACAGATCTGTGTGTACCGATCCCTGCACAGTACAGATCTGTGTGTACCGATCCCTGCACAGTACAGATCTGTGT